TGGGAGTTGAAGTCCAGACATCTTCAAGTTGCCAAGGTTGAGAAACGCTGTTCTATGGACTTCAACTCCCAGAATTCTGGGAGTCGAAGTCCACAGATCTATACCAATCGAATTTTTTGCATTCGCTGGCTGGGGAATTCTGGGAGTTGAAGTCCGGACATCTTCAAGTTGCCAAGGTTGAGAAACACTGGACTAGACGCTAAGCGTTGTTAACCTGGGAGTTGAAGTCCAGACATCTTCAAGTTGCCAAGGTTGAGAAACACTGTTCTATGGACTTCAACTCCCAGAATTCTGGGAGTCGAAGTCCACAGATCTATACCAATCAAATTTTTTGCATTCACTGGCTGGGGAATTCTGGGAGTTGAAGTCCGGACATCTTCAAGTTGCCAAGGTTGAGAAACACTGCATTAGACCAACACGGGCAACCGTTGGGAGCCCGAGGCTCATCCCAGCGATGGTTTTTAAAGAAGCCGAAAGCGAGCACCCAGCTCCCCTCCGTTCTGTTGGTTCCGTTCCTGGGTGGGCATTTATTTACTTGTTTATTGAATCGTTTGGGAAGAAACATAACCCCCACCCATCCATTCCCGCCGAGCATCTTCTAATTTTACAAAGGTTGGAAGAAATCAGCTCGCAGGCACCGTGGAAGCACGAGGCGTGATATCCATGTTAAACGGTTCGACGCGGATTCGCCATCATTTCTTCGATGAAAAATTAGCAGAAGCGGCTTTTCCTTCAGGGGGGAAAAACTGAAGCACAGGGGCTCCTAGATTTACGACCACAAGTGAGCCCCGAAACCTCTTGTCATTATTTGAGACGCCCGTGACGTGCGTTTGGCTCCATTTCGGGACTGTCCTTGCCGTGGTTGTTGAGCGAATCGTCGCATTTGTTAAGTTAGAAACACGGTTGTTAAGCGAATCGGGCTTCCCCCTTGACTTTGCTTGTCAGAAGGTCGCAAAAGGGGATGGCCTCAGCCCGGGACGCTGCGATGGTCATAAATAAGAACCAGCTACCAAGTGTTTGAAATTTTGATCGCGGGACCCCGGGGACGTAGAATGGTTTAAGTGTGAAAAACGATCCTAACTCGATTTTTTTCTGTGCCGTTGCAACTTTGAATGGTCACAAAATGAACTGTTGTAAGTCGAGAACTATCTGCATGCGGGGACCACCCTGGTGCTCTCTGAGCTTGGTGGTTTTTTTTGCAGATGTTTCATTGTCGAACTAGGTAACATCATCCATGCGTTACCTAGTTACATCATGAAATGTCTGCAAGAAAACAACCAAGCTCAGAGATTACCAAAAGGTAAAGGTTCCCCTCGCACAAACGTGCTGGTCGTTCTCGACTCTAGGGGGCGGTGCTCATCTCCGTTTCAAAGCCGAAGAGCCAGCGCTGTCCGAAGACGTCTCTGTGATATGTGGCCGGCATGACTCAACTCCCGAAGGCGCACGGGACGCTGTTCCCTTCCCACCCAAGGTGGTTCCTGTTTTTCTACTTGCATTTTTTACGTGCTTTCGAACTGCTAGGTTGGCAGAAGCTGGGACAAGGAAAGGGAGCTCACTCCGTTACACGGCGCTAGGGATTCGAACCGCCGACCTTTCTGATCGACAAGCTTATCATCTTAGCCACTGAGCAACCCCGGAGAGCACCAAGGACCCCACATTCAATCCTGAGCTACAAGCAGTCTCTACTACAGGTAAGGACCACAGGGCATCCAACTAGGATTAGATTTAGGTTTCGATCTGGGCTTTGACGGGGCTACTTCAGAACCCACCGTCCTCTTTTTCCTCGCTATTCCTTGGTGGGTTTGCTGGAAGGTTGAGGGCCATGACGATGCTGCAAAGTCCACTTTTGGTTGAGCTTCCACCTTCTGACAAATGGTCTCACGTTCTCCTACTTTCACTCCAAACTAATTCACCTCTAAAGGTAAAGAGATTCTGTAGAGATTCTCTGCCATCTAGGTGCTTCTTTCGGGAGGCAACTGGATTTTCTTGTTTTTTTTCTTTTCTTTTGAAGACGTTTCACTTCTCCTCCAAGAAGCTTCTCCACCTCAGACAGGATTGTGGGGAAGGTTTTCTTGTTAGTTGTGTGCGGCTTTAAGCCATGGTTCGGAGCCAGTGATATCCGAAGACAATTCCCGTCACGGTCATGTCGCCGGCGGGAGTATCTGCCGAGGGACGCAGAATGCCGCGACCTTCCCACCAAAGGGTACCTATTTATCTACTCGCATTTGCCTGCTTTCGAACGGCTTAGGTGGGCAGGAGCGGAGGCCAGGAACGGGAGCTCACTCCATCTCGTGAAGCTCAGGTCTCGAACCCTAGGCTGCCGGCTCTCCGGCTGACAAGCTCGGCAGCGCCTTTTAACCGCTGAGCCATCGGGATTAAAACTAACCTTCTCAAGAACAAAAGGGACCAAGTCACTTCGCTGGTTTTAGGAACTGGCAGTTTGCTGGTTTTTGTTTTTTTTAGGACCTGGAAAAAGTGTTGTTTTTTTCCAAAACGGGGTCACTGCAGCTTGTCTTTTGAGGTTATAAACCACCGCAGCAACAATTTTGCTTGTGTTTTTCTTTTTTCTTTTCCCCCTCTCCAGTTAATGACTGTGAGTAACCTACTTTAAAAGGCTTTTCTGCCGGAGAAGCAAAACGCCGTTCCGGTGGGCCTGCGGGGCTGCGAATCTTAACAAGGTACGTCGTTGCAAACCTCTCTTCTTCCCCAGACGCCGCTATCAATTTAATCAGGGAAGGAAAGCATGCATTCTTCCTTAATTAAATTATGCACAGGCAGACAATAGCTGGCCCATCTTTTGCAGAGCGCGCAAAGGACTCTCGGAGACAGGCAAACAACGGTTGGGCACCAAAAATATATACGGGTTGACAAGCAGGCAGCGTTCGGTCCCTGGCGGCACCGTGCCCCCACCCCCGCCCCCTCCGAGCCTCTTCACCGGCGGAGCGAAAATCAAGGGCGCATAAATAAGCAATGCCGTGGGCGCTAAGATTAGACACATTTCCTCAATCCCACCTAATTTCATCGAGAATTTCTTGGCCCGGAGTCTTAAATTATTGAGTAGAGTACACAGGCGCCCTTGATTACCGCCGCCTGCAAAGAGCATCACGGCGGCTGGGTGGGAAAGGCACAATTGCTCGGCGCTGGTCTGCAATCAAAAGAGGAGAGGAAGGACGGGACTTACGCTGGCACATCCCTCCGTTCGTGGGGTCTCCATAGTAACCGGAGATGCACATCTCACAGTGTTTGCCGGTGGTCAGGTTCTCACATCGCTCACAGATGCTCTCGTTGATACATTTGCTGTGCCCGTTACACTGGCAGGCTGGGGGCAAAAGAAAGAAAAAAAGTTTGTGTTGGTTCTTTCTCATGGACATCCAAGTGTCGGCTTCCGGAGGCTGCCCCAGTGCTTGGTTTTCTTGACAAGCAAGAACGGGGCTGACAAGGAGAGCCGGCCCTGGGTTCTGATGAGGCTGGCTCTGCTTTCTAGACTCCAGAAAGGAAAGCAGTGATGTCCAACTTTGTGTTGTGGCCTGCCGGCGGCCAGCAGAGCTGGCAGCAAAGTCGGACAGTGAGGAGGTTGGGGAGGAACATGGGCCAGTCCTGGGGGCTGAGGAAAACTCAGACGAGGGCTCTGCATCAGAGGCAGAGGGAGCTAGTCAGCAGCAAGGCAGAAGAACATCTGGAGCCTGTTCCCACTGTATGCATGCACAGAGCTAAGAACAACTAAGAAAGCAGGGTAGACGTGGGAGTAAAGCTACACCTTGGAGGTGATTGGCCCCTCCCATAGGAAACAAAGGAGGAGCGAATGGGGAGGGGGCTTTTGCAGGAAACAATTCGTTCCTTCAGTTGTTTCAAGAGTGGAAAGTTCTGTTTGTGACTATAAGAGGCTCTGTGCCAAGGGTTGCCTTGCCCTGTGTTTGGAAACTAGTTATTTGGCAGTTCTCCAAGTAAGATAAGGTGCGTGTGGATAAACATTTCTCTGAAAGGCTGTTTATTAGCCTTGCTGACTGTGAATGAAAGAGATAAGGTGCGTGTGGATAAACATTCCTCTGAAAGGCTGTTTATTAGCCTTGCTGACTGTGAATGAAAGAGATAAGGTGCGTGTGGATAAACATTCCTCTGAA